CGAATGTCATCTAAGTCACTGCTAGTAGACGAATTAGTTTGCGTAAAATTACAGGTTATTTTATTCGAAACATCGTTAGTATACTTATAGGTAATAGGCCCTGAAACAATCCAGCCTAACTTTGTTTCACACAACACAGGTTTTCTTTTACCTAATTGTAATCTTTGAGACCCTAGTAAATCCCAAAATAAGTCTGCACCAATTAATATGTCAACATCTGACGGTACATAAAACTTAGGATCTGCTAAACATATAGTAGTAGAAATATTGAGGTCTGAAATATCTATCTCACAACATGGTATTGCATTCGCTATTAACGGCAGAACAAAACAATATAACTTAGCGCTATAGTTGCTATCCAACGACGTCATATTTACATGTTACAGTTATTTATGCCATATACCGACCCGGTTATTTCATTCGTTGTTAAATTTAACCGCCTACACAGGCGCGGGGCGAATGAGGCGATGCAATACTCGCCGACAAAGCCAAGTTATGCACATCAGTGACAGAGGACAGCAAACACGTCGAGTGTGGCGAAGACGAGTTATCATATGACTCGTCATTCTTATGACTACGTGAATCTAACATAAGTTTAGAATCGGATGTGTAATATTAATATGTTGTGTCTGCGTTTGCATAACTTACAACCCGGTTTTTTACATTGATTGGCAAAGTGACCTGTACGGAAACAGTTATAACACACCTTATAACTAGGTATTAATTTAAGACGTGCTTCGTTACTTAACGCTAGGAATTGTGGACAATTGTTTAAATTATGGCTGTCCTTACATTTAGGACAGTGCCTAGAACTAGATTCAAAACCTTGTGTTACAACCGTTGACCTAACCTTAGAATATTTGTTATAATTAAACTTGTGGGAGACGTTATTTCGCGATAATTCTAATGTCTCAACTAAGTCAGCGCGGTTGCGCATGAATTGTAAAAAGAAATCAAATGTGATGCTATCTTTGTCTTAACGTCCTTTACACTCTTCCCACTCACGATAGGTTTTCTGGTCTAACTTATGAGTCACTATATAGATTAACAAAGTGTCCCAGTGCTTAACTGACTCAACTGATCAATTAAGGACTTTAATGCACTAGACGATTCCTTGTTAATAACTTCAATGTTAAATAACGCTGACACATGATTTTGAACTAATAATCTTTTATTGTCAAAACGATCACAAATTAACCTCCATGCCACATCATAATTACCAGCAGAGAACTCCACAGACTGAATAACGACAGCAGCAGATCCTTCAAGGTACGCACGCAAATAATGAAATTTATTGATTAAATCAATATCATCATTGCAGTGAATAAGACTAGTAAAAGTGTCTCTAAATTCCAACCAATTACCATAACATCCATTGAATTTTGGAAGTTGGATAGTGGGTAGTTTTATAGGCTTATAATTACTGGCACGAGTACTTTTATTGCTACTAATAGACTCTTTGTCTTTATTGTATTCTTCAATTAAATCTTGCGCCCTAGATAAACATGCATAATAATTCGAATCAAATTCTGAGCGTTCGGTATATTGAACCTTAACGTCATCAACAATGCACTCCAGACGCAACTGCACCTCATCAAATTGCTCGTACAACAACTCGATCTTACCGGTACGAAGCTGCAGCTCCTTAATGTTATAGCTACTAAGGGGCTTATCACTCAATGCGTCAAGTCGGCCAATGAAAGCTGTCAAGCGACCTTTGAAGCTCCCTCGCTTCTTGATTAAGTCTTTTTCTTCGGACATACTGGGATACGGGTATTGTCGAACTGAAATTTATACAATAACAACTTAAATAAAGAAATAAAAATCTAGGTTTGTACTACCTGCGTTATGTATAATTTGTTGTTCAATCGAACAATCTGAAAATGTATATGTTTAACTATTTCATAATTTATTTGTGAATAGATACAGTTAATTAATTTTATTTTACAATGTTTTATTTGCCACATGCCTAACTATCCTTTTATAATTACTTTAATTAACAAACAATCTTAACGTACCCTTATTAATAACACGGCTCAAATAAATAAGTTTCATTTAAAAATTAACAATTAATATCTACACTAACCTTTGGCAAGCCTTAATTAAGGATAAATAATACCTGGGCCCCAATTCCGCTATTTTATGTTCACGAGAAACCACTGTCATACCACTGACACGCTATTGGAGATGCCATCAAGTGGCCACTGACATCGGTCAACTTTTCGGTAATCTGCTAAAATAAATTCACAATGTGTCAATGGACTGTCGGTGTAGTGACAATGGCTCATCAGTGGTAATATTAACAACATTGCCATATCTCGAAAATGAAATATATCATTTCCTTACAAATTTAAAATATTAATTGATCATATTTTTGATACAAATGTATAAACGTGGTTATAACTACATAAAACACCGTAAAAAATTAATTATCGTTGGCTGCTTGCAAGTGTTATTGCCACACGAAAAAAAAAGTTACAATATCTAATATCTAACATTGACATTGACGGAAGACCGGCAAAATTTTAAAAAGTTTTTAAATAGTAAGTACATACTTTTGTAATATTTAGATGTTATTGATAAATAAAACTAATATTATATTTTTGTACCACGAAATGTTAAAACGAAGTTATGTGATACAATATTAATAAAATTATGGTTTAATACTAGTGCATCATCGTATTGTTTACCTTGCACCTTGGTCATTCAAACTTTTCTAAACTCGTTGCAGGAATGGCTAGTATTGAACAACTTGACGCTTTGATATTCTTCATGGAAAGCCACAAGGAACTGGCCTTGGGAAGTGTTCCCGATCAAAAGAAGGACGCATTCTAACGAAGCGCTTGTGGGCACAGTGCACTCAAATTCTAAACAATATTTCGCTAGACTGCCAAGTTAGATCGCCGGAGAGCTGGAGAGTAGTGAGTATTAACTTTATATAACAAATTTGCTCTAACTACTGGGCCCCCCTACCAATATATTTCTTTATAAGAAGGCAATATAAGGGTTTATAATACTGAAAAAGAATTATATATAATAAAAGAAATATATATATATTAAGTTAGGGTAACATAAAGTAGTCCACCACATTATCAGCGTTGGCAAATATCAGACAACTTGACATAGTAAACTCATAGTTAAGCAGATTTCCTTCTAATTCTAATGTTTGCTTACACTGTTAAGGCAAGCAGTAACTAAATTATAACTTTGAGATAAAAGTAACAGAGGCAAACTTAAAACTTCTAAGTACTGTTATTTGTTATTCTGTACTAATTCCATCATGGAGAATAACTCTAGATAATCTTCTCACTAAGCTTTGTTGCTTGAACTACTAAAATTTCCTTACTTCATTTGATTAATTCTATAAGCTAATATTTATTTTGTTATTTCCAGTTTTATAAGGAATACAAGTCTAAGCTCCTCAGGAGGGTAAAAAAACAAAAGGCCGAAATTCAGGCTACAGGTAATGACCTTTCTTAAATTATTCTTATTTATTAAAATCAGTTACAAGGTTAATATGCAGAACTTTTTATATTTTGTTTGTTTAAGATTAACTGCATTGTTTTCAGGAGGTGGCCCCGCAGCTAACATCACCTTGACACCATTACAGGAGCGACTGTATGATATTATTGGTAGAGATGTTGGGGAACCTCTAGAAGGTGTCCGTCACAATCCCCTATTTGTGAGTTTAATATATCTTATTTTTTATTGTGCTATGTGTAACTTTTGCCTTTTTTTAAATGTTTTTTTTTTTACACAAAATATAATTGCCACATTGTAGATACCAATATCTACAATTTGGCATTACATATATTTTTTATTTGCATGTTTTTTTTTCTTATTGAATAGAGCCTAGAAGATAATGCTGGTGTTGGGGTGCATGAAATACCCTTTTCAGTGTGACTTGTCATGATATTTTTATTTCTTCATTTTATTACTAACAAACTCTGGAAGCAGATTACCTACATACAAGCTCAAATGCCTGACTTGCCCCACTAACATGCCCAGATTTTATATATTCAAATACAAGAGACAAATAATATTATTAATAGCCATAATACACAAAATAAAGAACTTGATAGAACAAACAGAATAGCAAGATGTTCCACAAGCTGTCCCAGTTCCAAAAGTATCTGATAGGGTTGCTCTATTTTGAAACCCTGGCAGTATGCATTGTTTAACTAATATGTGTAAACTAAATAATGCATAGCGGCGGTGGCTAATATTATAATTTTTATGAAAATTAAAATTATAATATCAAGAATGTTAACTTTATTACAGACAAAACACACAGGCCCAAGCAGTGTCCTTTGAGGTGACTCCTTCTTTGGAGTCAGCAAGCTCTGCAATATTCGCTAGTGCTGTGGAGCCAGTAATCTCCATAGTGGACTCAGCTAACTCTACAGTACAAGCAAGTCATGTGGAACTCATTGGCACTGTGGAGCCTACTCCTCGTCCATACAGCGGCTCTACACATCGGCGACGTCGTGGACGTCGAAGTTTGGAGGGATCTCAACCCCGAAGTGGTAATTTTACTTTTACTTAACTGTATATGTTCACAATACCTTTTCATATGGACAGAATCATGTAACGTAAATATATATTTGCCCTGCAGCACATGAACCAACAAGTCGTTTAGAGGAGGCACAACGCAGGTTAGCCGAAATGGAAAGCGAAAGAACAATGGCTTTTACGGCTGCTTTGGACCGTCTGGCTACTACCATTGGTCAGCCGTTGGATCGTCTGGCCACTGTCATTAGCCAACTTTTGCAAGTATACCATAGAAACAGCAGTGGTTCCCCGCCTCTGGTAGGCTTATTCCTTCAAGTAGAATCTTAAGCATCAACACATAATTTATATTTTTTTAACAAGTTATTTTATGTTCCTTTCAGAGAAAAAGGGCCAGGATTATTATCCCTTCAGAATCTGACTCCGAATAAATTAAAAGTAGGTAACAAAAACACTTATGGCAGTAGTAAATGTTTTTAATTTTAATAAAATTATCTTTCTGCCCACAATTTGTTCACAAGTGCCTGCTGCATGGTCCGGCCTTCCAGCAGGTCACGATTAACCCGACCACCTATCGTTACTACGGTCTCAGCCTCTGCTCTCAAATCTTCTTGAACCTAAAATTAATGAAACAACGGGGTAGGTATTAAAACAAAATTAAAAACTTAGGTTTAAATTGAGACCCAATCAATGAATTTGAAACTTTACCTGATATTGACGCAAATTCTCCGCTACAACTTCCTCAGGCAGTAAAGGCAGGACAGGATTTTTGGCGCGGTTCGCAATATTGTGCAGAACACAGCAGGCGTTCACTATTTGCCCTGCAGTATTCGGAGCATAATGAAGTGCTCGAACAGCAAGCAAACACCTAAAAATAAATATTGATAATTATACTGAGTATTAACATTTCCTTTTTTTTCAGAATTTTTCTACATCTAATCAAGACTGATTAATCCAATCAAGACTGAATAATAGCTTTACGTTAAATAAAAAAAATATTTATCTAGCACTATGTTGTTTTACTATTCCAACTGATGGCATACAAAAAATAAGATATTTAGTTCATTGGCCTGTGACATGACAAACATGTAATTCATTTGGTAGGGTTAATTCCATCTTTACCTGAACCGTGCTTTCAACACCCCAATACAACGCTCAACAGTATTGCGCGCAGTTACATGCAAATTATAATAATATTGCTGTGGAGTTCCCTCAGTGGTGTTTAAAATTGGTGTCATCATCCATTTGCGCAAGGGGTATCCACTGTCACCTAAAATAAAGTAATTTTAACAATTTGTATTAAATTCCTTATTTTATTAATAACTAATAGCAGCTGTTTTTTTAAAATTTGCTGTTATGTAAAGTTTTTTATCAGTCAATTATTACTGATAAAAAACTAAAATATACAAATGGTTTCTAGACATTGTACATTTTATTCCAAGATTTCATCTTCATCATCATCAACAGCCTTGAATAGTCCACTGCTGGACATAGGCCTCTCCTGAGAGAGGAGGTTTTGGCCTACATACTCACCTAATAAAAATGAACTATCTCCACCGGGACCAGCTAAACTAATTAAGTGTTGGCTGAGTGGATTACTCTGCCACACACTGGAGTCATGGGCTGCACCAGGGATACTGGCATCGACACACATGATTTGAAGATCAGAGTCACATACCTGTAAATTATTGATAGCATTAAGCAAACTGAAAAATGACTGAATGATAAATAAACTGGTGCAAATAAATACTTACAATCATAACATTTAATGAATGGTACCTGTAATATTAAAAAATTAAAAAAAATATTTTATAGTAGTAGTCTGTGTTATAAAGAAACAAACTAACTGGTGGCATCACAAATACTAACTAACTAACAAACTAACAACTCGGGCGCCAGATACCACCTTAAAAGAACACAGAACCAACCACAAATACAATAAATGCCTCGGACAACTCGGTCAGCGCTGGACCTTTAATCTAGGACGGGGGGCAGCTAATGAATACAAGATGTTAAGTTCTAGTGGCAGTTTATTATCCCGTAGTGTCTGTAGTAATATCTATATAATATAATAGTAATATATAATAAGTATCCCGTAGTGTCAAAGTATCTTAGGACTCTAATTACAATAGGTAACTCTTATACTCCAATTAGTACTGTCATTAATGCAATCCTTTTCAAATAATAAAAAAACAATATAAGATTAAATATGTGTTAAGAGTCACATAAAGACTTAATAAGAAAAGAAACTAAGGGTAGTTGTAGCATCGACCTACTCTCTAGTAAAAATATAACACCCCTTGGGGACCTGCAGTATCCAACGCCACAACGCCAGATCAAAATAATAAAAGAAACATACCAAATGACATTGGTTCAGTCCGAATGAAAAGAATTCAAACCAAATCTAAAACATCTCACTCCGGTCCCACGTGGTGGAAGAGGCGGGTTAGCATTCCCAGGCTCCTGACAATGGCATGCAGCTAAGCAGCTTTTTCTACCATTATAGGTGCTCCACAGCAACTAAATTCCTGGGGTCAGGCCGGCGGAGAGACAAAATCCGAATGCCACGCAATGACATTCCAATCCAATAAGAATTTAAGGTATAAATAGAAAATTTAGATTAAAACAAAAGATTTAGAATTAAACTAAAAATTTAGAATTAAACTAAAGATAAACCAAAGATTTAGAATTAAACTAAAGAAAAGAACCCTGATTCATCTGCAACAAATGAGAATTATAGGTTATTTGCCTATCTCAAAAGATGAATCCTAAATCTGGCAAGATACAATAGTTTACTCACCAGGGTCCCAAAATGTTTCACAAACTAAGCAGCGGCATTATAAATATACCCTGTAACCAAACAAACAAAGATTTAGAACAACTAATCTCGACAAGCCAAGTATGAAGCACGTGGCATAACAAGACTTACCTTTTAACGAAAATAACAACTCGATCAATACAATTTGAGTCTTTAACGAGGTTGGCCGAATAATAAAAATAAGAAATAAGCCCTCGTTACAACAAAAAGACTACATTTTAAAAATCTAAACTTCTTCGACTCGGACCAAAACTAATGTGACGCCATAAATGCCTTTTAACAATGACGCGTCCAAATGTTGCCAGATCAAGAAAAACCAAATCGATAAGTACCATAGACGATCAGCATCGACTAATCTCTCTACTCTCTACTCTCTGAAACGTCATAAAATTCAACTAACAAAACAAAAACACGTCAAAGATTCAAATTACTGTAATGGTGCGAAATGCACGGTTACATTACATACCTTCCCAAAAAAAATAAAAGAAAGGACTCTTTCTTTTATGCTGAAAAGTCAATACTCAACAAAATACTTCAAACAAAAAGATTTGAAAACATCTAAACTCCAAAACTGACTCTACCAGAAAACTCTACTAAAACTCTACAAACTCCAGGAATACAAAAATCCAAACGCCAAAGAAAGACTAGGAAAACTAAATATAAAATCAAAAAAACTCTACAAACAAAACAACAAAATCACACCAAATCAAAAAACAAATCTCTACACTAAACAACCATTAGGAATGGAAAATCCAAGGAGTGCGGTTGGACACCTTCGTCACCGACTCTAATGGAGCTACAAACAACAACGAAATAAACTTCACAAACAACATCCATTAGGAAAGGTATATCTAAAAGATATCAATATCCAAGAAGTGCGGTTTGACACCTTCGTCACCGACTCTAATGGAGTTACAAACTATACAAAATAAAACTAACAACAACAAAATAAACTTCACAAAACAACATCCATTAGGAAATGTATATCTTAAAAGATATCAATATCCAAGAAGTGCGGTTGGACACCTTCGTCACCGACTCTAATGGAGTTACAAACAACAACAAAATAAAACTAACAACAACAAAATAAACTTCACAAAACAACATCCATTAGGAAATGTATATCTAAAAGATATCAATATCCAAGAAGTGCGGTTGCACACCTTCGTCACCGACTCTAATGGAGTCACAAACAACAACGCTTCACCCTAATATTGGCGAAGTGAAAAACACATTTCAAAAATGTCAAACCAAACAAAATATTCTTCACAACAAGGCGGTGAGAATATATAAAAAACCTGTGTATTGTGATCGGCCCAACTCCACCGAACTACCGGGCACAATACAACAGAAACCAAACAAAATATTCAACACAACAAGACGGTGTGAATATAAAAAACCTGTGTATTGTGATCGGCCCAACTCCACCGAACTACCGGGCACAATACAACAGAAACCAAACAAAATATTCAACACAACAAGACGGTGTGAATATAAAAAAAACCTGTGTATTGTGATCGGCCCAACTCCACCGAACTACCGGGCACAATACAACAGAAACCAAACAAAATATTCAACACAACAAGACGGTGTGAATATAAAAAAAACCTGTGTATTGTGATCGGCTCAATACCACCGAACTACCGGGCACAATACAACAGAAACCAAACAAAATATTCATCACAACAAGGCGGTGAGAATATATAAAAAACCTGTGTATTGTGATCGGCACAACACCACCGAACTACCGGGCACAATACAACAGAAACCAAACAAAATATTCATCACAACAAGGCGGTGAGAATATATAAAAAACCTGTGTATTGTGATCGGCACAACACCACCGAACTACCGGGCACAATACAACAGAAACCAAACAAAATATTCAACGCTTGGAAAAAAGCGTGAATCCAACAAGTGACAAATCATTCGACACCTGAAAAAAAAAGTGTGAATCTAACAAACAACCCATTCAACCCTTGAAAAGAGGGCGAATCTAACTTCAACCAAACACTCTACAATGGGTAGAAGTGCAAATACAATACAACCAAAATATTCAACAAAACACTCTACAATGGGTAGAAGTGCAAATACAATACAAACAAAATATTCAACAAAACACTCTACAATGGGTAGAAGTGAAAATACAATACAAACAAAATATTCAACCAAACACTCTACAATGGGTAGAAGTGCAAATGCAATACAAACAAAATATTCAACAAAACACTCTACAATGGGTAGAAGTGCAAATACAATACAAACAAAATATTCTTTTGATGTGGTTCCTATTATGAATGAAGTTCCCAAATTAATAAACCAAAATGACCTAAGTAAACTTTTGAACTTTTAAACCCCAAAGTCAATACATTGTTATGACTACCTCACACTACATCAACATACAAACCGCGGTAACCTAGTATACATCAATCTACATACCTCCTCAAACAAATGTGGAATCTAACAAATATATCAAAATTAAGACCAAAAGTTAATGACCGAATAGTGAAATTTTAATACTTAATAATATCTTTAATGCGATAGCGACCAATGGTGTTCTTTAAAAGGTCCTGCAAAAGGTAAACATTAGCTGAAATCTTCTCTAAAATTTTACATTTAACAAACTTAGGTGCAAGCTTTGCCGAAATATGCTGGAGCGCTAAACTGAACAAAATTTCTTCTCCAAACAATATCACCAACATCAAAAGAAATAGAAATAGTAACAAATAATATTAATAATTTTAATATATAATAACAACAAATAATATCAATAATTTTAATATAAAGCAATGCGCTTTTAACAAATGTGACTCAACTCTAACAAAAATATCACTAAGTGATTTAAAAGAAAGGGCACAAAAATCCCTTTAACAAACTCAAGTTGGTCCAAACTAACAAAGAATTACCAAAATGGTGTAGAGATGCATCAACAAATTAACTCTCTACCAAACATGAGAAAATTAAGTGTAAAACCAGTAACCAAACTTTTAAATAATCCAACCAGTCTAAAAATTCCATTCAGCAAGTGACTCCGTCAGGCCCCTTAGTGTGACTAACCATCTTCTCAACATCGAGACATACCTAGTGTTCTCAGAAACCGGAGCTCGATGAAACCTACTTCGCCGAACTGCACACATCACAAAACCTTGTGGTAACTCCAACTTCTGACACTTGAGACAAATCATACCAGGAATCGAAGAACAGTTCTTAAAGGTGTGACCGGTTGACTTACCATTTAAACAAACAACGCTAGTATTGTCTGACATGATAGCGTTGGACTATACTTTTTCAAATTCAAAAGGCTTGGAGTAATCTTTAAGAGATTTCCAATTAACAAAAACTTCAACCCGACAAAAACTACAAAATTCCAAAGCGGCAGTCCAAATGTTAAGTTCTTCAAAGTTAATTAAGTTTAAATTTATTTAAAAGTGAATTGTAGTGAAAGGATAAATTTAAATTAATTTAAAAGTCAACTGTTGTGAAAAGCTAAGTTTAAATTATTTAAAGGTTAAATGTTGTGAAAAGATAAGTTTAAATTTATTTAAAAGTTAAATGTTGTGAAAAGCTAGGTTCAAATTTATTTAAAAGTTAAATGTTGTGAAGAAAAGTCTAAATTGATTTAAAAGTGAAGTGAGAAAAATTAAGTTTTAATTTAAATATCTAAGTTCTGTATTAAAAAGGATTTAAGGATTGCAGTAACCACTAACAATTGTTTCAATAACTAGATAATAACAGTAAGGTTAAGCTAAGTTAAGTCAATCTTAATTTACAATAAGTTATAGTATAATAATTCCAAAGTGGAGGTATCTATAAAATGTTTCTCGAGCAGACTTATAGTTAACATTCAAAGCTATTAAATTGTAACACAAAATGCTTCAGTAACTATACCCTTAATTGAGAATACAATAGGCAGCAGTATAACTTAAATTATTGTTGCTTGTT